AAGAAACAGGCGTTAAACTAAAAAGAGTCAGCACAGTGGGGCAACGGCTGACTCAGAAATTTAGTAGCCCTATGGTCGTTATTACTAAAGCAAAAAGAAGTAATAACAGCCTAATGATCGATGGGAAGAACAAGGGCTGTAACCACATCATCACGCCGGACAACAGTACAATCGTCAAAGAAAAATTTGACCCGTTAGTGGGAACACAATTCCGAACGGCAACTGGTGAGGAAGGTGCTATTAAGGGTAAAGTTATGAGAAACAATTCGATTAGCGATGTTTCGATGAAGCAAGAATTTCTGGTAACAGATGTAGTGGACGAGGTAATATTGGGGATGGATTTTATGGCAAAGCATGGCTTCGTACTGGATATGAAAACACAATTGTTACAATACGCTAATGTGATTTTGCCATTCACTGTGGGATACGGCAGACAAGCCTAAGTATTACAAGTTGTAGTACGACGACAACAGAACATCCCTCCAAACTCCGAAGCAATAACAGGGGCCACAGGTACCCAAGAGCTAAGGCTAAGCAAGATATGGGTTGTCGAGCTGAATAAAGAAAGTACGAAAGACAACATCACCATTGGAAAAGCGGTTGTCTCACCAGTCAACAATTTAATACCAGTACGGGGATTAAACCCAACCAGCGTTACAACAAAAGTTCACAAAGGGGACATTATAGCGCAATGTCAAAACGCCGCATATGTCGTAAATCATCAAGCTGAAATTCAAAAACATCTCCAAAGATATCCCCAGAGGTTGAAATTCTCATAAATCTAGATGAGTAGCAGAAGAAATATGCTAAAAAGTTTTTGGTAGACAATTGGTGCATCTTTCTGGGCATTACAAATTCGGGTAGCCATACTAATGTTGCGAAGCATATAATCAACACTGCGGGAATTGATGCGATTCGGTAACGACCTAGAAGAATTCCACCAGCAAAGCCCTTGGTGTTCGGCAGTAGTTCTTGTTAAAACAAAAAGATGGCTCCACCAAATTATGTGTGGATTATAGGAAACTGAACGAGGTGACCAAGAAGGATTGCTACCCTTTGCTTGGCATCGATGACACCTTAGATACATTGTCAGGTTCGCAATGGTTCTCAATCTTAGTTTTGAAGTGTGGGTACTGGCAGGTGGAGGTTGCCGATCATGACAAGCAAAAGACCAAATTTTCTGCTGGCGAAAACTTATATCAGTTTACCGTAAGATGAAGAGAAAATCAAAGCAGTAAAAGAATGGGCACGACCAAACAGTTTGCATGAAGTTCACAGTTTCCTAGGACCTTGCACATACTATCCCAGATTCGTGCCCACGTCTGGCACAGTTGCTAGTGGGCTGCATGACCTTCCGAAGAAAAATCGATCTTTAATATGGGGAGAGCCTCAAGAGCACGTGTTCGCGCAGTTGGAAGAGCTGTTATGCGCGGCACCCATTTTAGCTTATCGAGTACCAGGAGAAAAATTTTTACTGGATGCCGATGCAAGCGCAGAAGGCTTAGGGAGCAAATTGCAGGTAACGAAAAAGTAATAGCATATTACAGCAAGCGCCTTTCCAAATCCGAGAGAAATTATTGTGCTACGCGAGGGGAACTGCTGGCAATAACGCAATCTGTGAAGCACTTTCGCAAATATCTGTATGGGCAACAATTCCACCTAAAGACAGATCATGCTGCTCTGCGATGGTTATTCAACTTCAAAGAACCAGAAGGACAATTGACTAGGTGGATTGAAAAACTGCAAACTTACCAATCCTCGATTTACCATTAGAGCAGCAAATCGCATGGCAATGCGGATGATATCTCCCCACGTCCATGCGTAAAAAATTAGAATAAAGGAGGTGTCGTCATCTGTCGGACTATTGTGAAGTCCAACGGAAACTTTTCGAAGGAAGACATGCCTGTGCTCAAATGGCCGACGATGATTTGAACGCAATATTAGAGGCTATAGAAAAGGAGGAGCGTGCCACCTGGTAAGAGGTTTCAAGCGAAAGTCCGATTACGAAGGCGTATTGGACTCAGTGGCAAAGCCTTATCGTTGAAGATCGATGCTTGTGGCGCAGATGGCATAGTGAAGATGCACACATGAGCTAAGAAATTACTAGAGGTCCCACTAGCAAGAGCTCAAGATATTATAAGGGAATACCACAACGGACCAAGCGGAGGGCATCTTGGCATCACAAAACCGTGGAAAAGATCAAGGAAAATTTCTATTGGGCAGGCATCACGAATTCTGTAGCTGCATGAACTCACAGCTGCAGTCAATGAAACAAATCGAAAGGCCCGAAAATTAAGCCGCGAGGGCGCTTGCAGCAGTATAACGTGGGTGCACCTTTCGAAAGGATCGCAGTGGATAATATTCTATTTATATACATTTTTTCCAGAATATTACTAGTACTTAATTTTATAGCTTCATTTTTAATCCGTTAATCTGCTTTTCTGGTACTCGTTTTCCTCGGCCGGCAGCTGCATGACGAACTGCGAATGTGTATTTGGTTTTTCCCTCTTTAGGGATTTTATTACTTAGCTGGAATGTGCTGGATTTGGGATTTCCGTAACAGTACATTATCTACAGGCGAAAGACATGAGTTGTCTAAGAGACACATTCAAAACTAAGAAAGGCAATTTCGATATTTGCTTTTGCTATGTGAAAAAAGCAATTTCTTTTATCAAATTGTTATTAGCACTGAAGGGTAGATATATTTTGAGAATTCCCAAAGCAAAAGAATCGAAGCTTGTACCGGAAAAATCATCTCGGAAACCTGACAACAGTCCACGTTTGTGGCGATCAGAGAAAGCTCATGAATTGTTAGCTACTGAGATGGTACGAAACTGTGAATGAATGTCGTTAACCATAACAATTACATGGAGAAGTCGTCAACAGTGTGATGAATCCACCGCTTGCACACTTCTCGACAAAGCAAATTAAATAAACAGATCTGTTAGTCATTGAGGGCGATATTAGCTGAATGGCGTTTTCAAACTAACTTACACTACCACCGGCTCTTATCATTAAAGCCAAGCAATACTCTTCATTGAATACATCGAATAATTTGCCAAACATACCAGTTAAGCATTGCGGCGAACCAATTGTTGTTGCGTTAAGTCTCTGTTTATATCTAATGTAAGCGAAGTGTCATCGTTAAAAAGGAGCAAACTTTCAAATGAGCTTGGAAAGGAGAACAACGAGCAAGAAACCAGTACTTCTTGCAAAATTACAAAAGACAATGAATCGCCTTAACAAAGCTGGTTAACTGTAAGCCATCTTATTGCCGATATAGGAAGTTCATCAAACGTACGTAACGATATTCCAAAAGATCTTGAGTATAGATCAATGATCAAAGGTGTTGCAAACAAAAATGACATACAACAAAGAAGCGGTGCGGAAAAATATACTCACAATCGAATAAACAGCCGGAAAAGGCTGAAGGAATCTCTTTAGGAGATAGTAAATAATGGCAAAGAGCCACAACTACAAATAAATTCTTGCGCTCATTCGTGCTACTCATTCAAGAATCGTTGTCAAATAAAAGCAAAATGCAGGGCACCAAGGCAGAAACGAGTTCTCGGGCAAGGCTAAATCGTGCCTGATCGAATCTAAACAAAGCAATGAATCGCCTTTACAAAGTTGGTACACTGTAAACCACTTTACTACCGGTAAAATTATGAAAGAATCTAAAGAAATAAGTGCTTCAGCTGTTAATCGAACATCGAAGAAAACGAAAGTTTAGAAATTTCTTCTAGCAATTCAGGCCCTGCAAGTGCTGTAACACATCGGTCCAGTAATAGCAATTCAGCTGCTAGCTTAATTTTACGAGAAATTAATATCGATGCCTGGCTTACCGAAAGTGAAGATAAGCACATTGCCGAAATAAGATCCTGGGATATGTTTTAAATTATATCTCATACACAATTTAGGTTACTGCAAGTGAAAAATTGTCGAATGTCGTATATGGTGAAATGGAAAAAAAAGGAAAGCTAAAGACATTAGCAATGCACCGAAAATTTGTCAACATCAAAGTTCAGCTAGGCTTTTGGAAACGCTGTTAGTAGTCGTTTTGCCCAAATTGAGATTGCAACTTTACACCACATCATTCGCCGGCCGTGAGAACTCATTAACCAATTTTTCGGTGCAAAAACTTTTGCATCATATAAAAGAAAAAGAGGACTTTGAAGCCGCTTTTCAGGAATTGAAAGAAAATATAAAAAGCTTATTGAAAATTGGCCATACTGGCGTCGTAAAAGACCTAACTGCGGCTTGCTTGCCGCTGCACTTGTTAATTACTTCCATTATCGAAAAAATGTCCACTGCGAGAAAGTTTCTTTGTCAATTATTATTATTATATTAAGCCTTAATTTTATTGTAAACATATGTATATTTAGTGGAAAAATATAGGAGTTTTGATTCATTATTGTGCATGTGAAATATTCTACTTTAATAATATGATTTTTTGCGTAGGATCTTTCGTCGCACTGAGAGATATAACGTCACCGCGTTTTATATTCCTCCTTTTCACATCCCATCTTGACAAGAATACATAATCTTCCTAAAAATATTAAGAGAAAAACAAAGATTTAGAAACCTTAATTAATTGAAAACGATCAACTACTACAAACATCTAAGAACAGTTTGGCAATCGTAGATAATACAATTCCGGTTCTTCGGTTTCTTTATTTGTCTGTATTAGTATTTTCCCAATGCGTATAGCTGTAAAGAAGACTTAAACTAATTATATATTTTTCAAGAGCTCTGATTGATTTGATATTTTAATAGTGCTTTCTTACGTTACTTTGCGTTTCCCCCCCCAGCTTTACAATTTAACAACGATTGCCACTACTTGTTTGCCATTTAACAGAGCTGAATGACAACTGCGTTGCCACTTTTGGACTATTTTCCTTATTTATGACAACCAACTCTGTACTCTCTTCATTCTCCGCACATTCTTATTGGTTTTCTTTCTTATTGTTTTATATTGGTGTGAAAGAAATAGCCAACTAACGGTTTTTTAGGCAGAAAACATTGAACATTGAAAACTTTAATCATAATTTTTACGCGTAAAAAGATTCTTTAACGTATATATTCATTCATTACCAACTTACACTTGAGAGTGCGCTCAAACTGTTTCAACCCAATAAATTAGTTGCTATCGCCGGCACTTCTAGCGAATTTGCCAGTGAACATACAGTTCAAGTGCTTGATATAATCATAGCCAACTCATTCAACTTTGCTCATTCAACTTGGCTATTCTGCGTTTAAATAGTAATTTGCCTTTGGACATATGAAACGACCTTAAGTGGGTCATTTTGGACGATATCGATAACTCTGATAATTCATGTTTAGCAAATTTTTACTTCAGAAATGTAAGTGGCAAAGAAAAATATATGTATGGTAGTCTAAAGGTAAAGTTTATTTATTAATAATATAATTTATTAAAGAAAACTATTATATTAATATTTTTAGTATAGTTTATAGAGATAATAAATATTATAATTTTTTTTTATTTTTATTTATATATATATATATAATTGCATGTTTCATCAATTCTCTTCATTGTCATTGTTATTTCTTTGAACTAGTACGAGTACTTCTTAAGCCCAACAGCCGCCACATCTTTTGTAGATTTACCATTAATATTGTATCGGGATCTTTTCCATTTCCTAAAGGGGCAATTTCCTATTGATGCATGGTGTACTTGTTTCAACAGCATTTTTAAGAAATTCCCCTAATTCGGTCGTAATCCCGGTTTGTAATAAATTTCTATTGGGTGTCTCACAGAATTCATTTCCACTTACTCTCTGAGGTGGAATCGTATGACTTTTTGGAATTCGAATTTACAATGTTTTCGTCAATTAAAGTATCATCGAATTGATTATAAACATTGAGAAGATGCGTATTTTTTTTGCATTGCAACAATGAAGATGAACATGTACTCATATTGTCCCCAATAGAGGCCTTGAATTTTTCCTTCAAATTTGACTTCGCCTTCTATTTAAATTTACGGCTATAGTAACGTTTCGGTTTCTCCTGTAATATAAATAAAGGGGTCCGCTCCAAATTTCTTAATTTGCTCTCAGGTGACACTAAAGGACTGTTAAAAGGCGTTGTAGAGAAGTCCTCAATTGTTATATCTACTATTGTTTTGTTGTTATTGTCACTACGAGCTCTTCCTGGTGCGTCTATATTGTTTACTTCCATTTGTGGATAACACAGCATACTGTGATAATAATTCATGACAAGACGTAAATTTTTGCGAGGCTGTCAAAATTGGCTATTGACGTTTGCACATAAGACCGGGAATCCGCTAAGGACATTATTACATCTTCGTATCGACTCACGTTTTTTTCTAAAGCGATATCTTTTTGACTTAAGAATGTTTTATTGATATCACAATCATTCGGGCCGTCTAAGCAACTTTCTCCACTTTTGTTGTCGCAGAAATCAAGGGCTGGTTGGCGCAGTTTACTATCATTAGACTGAGGAGAACTTATACTACGTTTCTGCAATTTATGTTTCCTTTGCATTCGCTTCTGATAGACAAACTTGTAGGAACAGTGGCGACTAGATTCTATGCTTTCATCCATCTTTCAAATTTAATAAATTGATTTTCAATTCTTGCACAAGTGGAGTACGGGAGGATTGATAGTTTAAAAAAGAAATGTTCTATATATAAATGTGTAATGTATACCGTCAATATGAACTATCGCAAGAGATGCACATCAAAGTAGTAAAAAACAAGAACAAAAATTAGTAATTTACATGCATTATGCCGAATATGATTGAGTGATTTATTTAGTTTCTTTTAAAAATTAAACATTTTTAAACGTATTATTGTTGTGTCACTCGTGCAAATCAAGTGAGTACAAGTATGGCGGCGCACAGTTGTATTTACTAGTACGTACTTGTCCATACTTGTTGTTGTTATATTAGCCATTTCTCTTTTGAATTCTGCAGAAAGCTCTTCTGCTCATTTTATGAAGCAATCAATTTTAGCACTAGAAGTTTATTTGCATATTTAATGCATATCTTGAGACGATTTTTGGATATTTATAAGTACTTTAGAAGGAATGATGGGTATTACAAATCTTACCTGCTATAGAGAGAGATGAGAAGATCATGCATCTAAGAAAAACAGTTTTATGACATTTACTTAAGCTAATTCTCAATATAAAAACGCTTTCCTAATGAAAATGTCAAAAGGTATATATTAAATATATATATATTTTTACAAAATTTAATCTTAAATTTTAAAATAAACCAAATATTTCCTTAAAACTATATAACGTATTTGATAATACACGGATAAATTGGGACGTGACTGCTAGGAAGTTAGCTGCCACTGTAACAATAAAATTAGAACATCTTGTTACCACAAAGGATGTCCAGTATAAAGCACAGTTAATTAAAAAGGAGCTTAGGAGATTGAACAAAAGAGAGGAGGGGACCACACGAACGAGACTGGGCGCATTTTTGTGATACGCTCTAAAGTTAGGGCTGCGTCACGCAGCTGACAGATTGACTAAACAATTACTATCGGACGGAAAAATAAAAATTAAAATAGATAGAAATTTGGACGATTTTGTAGGCTTTGACGAGACGGAGGAAATGGATCAGCGGTTTTTACCCCATTTACAAAAGATGATTGACGAAACAATAGACGGAAGGACTGAGAGACTGATAGAGATACTGACTGACGAACTGATAGGGGAAATAGTTAAGGAAACTTTCGAGGAAGCGACTTGGGAACAGACGACTGTTGGTATGCGAAGCCCCGCGAATTTAGGTATTATAGATAGAACTAATATAGATTACAGCAGCTACGACGAGAGGCCATCAATCTCCGCCGAGGATGTTAAGAAAGCGGCGTCGTGAAATCTAGTTCCAACTGGTGAACGAGCATGTACTCCAGCAGGAACATATAGCCCAGGAGGCAAACATAGAAGAATCATTGGAAGAAATGAAGCCACCCACACTGAAGTCATGCTGGAAAAAACTATGGCCTACTGTGACTGCCGTAAATGGCGAAGAATCTGTGCAACTTCAAACTTTGACTGCAAACATAGCCGAAATCGCGAATGGAATGGGACGAGATGGGTTCGAACAGATAGAATCAAGTGACATTCAGGAATTGCTTGAATCGCAAAATCAAGTTTTGACTGAAACCGACTTGGAGGAAATGTTAAATTCACAGCCCATTGAAGAAGAGGCTTCAACAAGCACTGGAAACGTGACATTTAAATTGAAAAGTCTTAGTGAAGGTTTAAGAATGGCAAATGAGCTTGGCGATTTCTTTATGAACATTGATCCACGAAGTCTTATTTTTAAGAGGCAAATTGTTAATGCGACCGGTGCATATCAGTCTGAATTGAAGGAGCTTTTAAAAACTGCCAAGCAAGAGAAAATTACAAAATTCTTTAAACCAATGCCTAAACATTAAAATAATTAATCGAAAGTTTCAAAAACTTCAATTAAATTTGTTTTTTTATATATTTGATTTTTTTTAAATTCGTCACCTAGGAACGTATCCCCTATAATTCCCTAAAAATTACCATTCCGTATTTACAGTTTCTTTTTTTATTTTATCACCTAGGAACGTCATTTTTATGGAACGCATCCCACGCGAATAAGGAACTTTTACTGTACATTATAAGACAAAGATTGAAGAATTCCAATTTCATCGGTCCAACTTGACGGCTCTATGGCAACCATTATGCTGACGTATGCGCGACTGATAAACGCTCGAGTGATTTTGCAAACAGACAACGAATCCATCATGTGGTTTAGAGTCCCTATGCTGAAGCGAAGTCGCATATTGCTACAGTTTCGTTCTGATCGCAAATTGAAAGTGCTTATAAAATACGCCCGATCTGCTTACGATAGAAAAACTTAATAATTTTGCGCACGTTCTTGAAATCTTCATTGCTTTATAGCAAAATGACAGACAGAGATTAGACTTTTAATTTAACCGAAAACACTAATAATCTCAAAAGAAGATGAACTCCACATGAGAGCAACCCAAGATCTTCCAACTGAAATAAAAGAAGTATTTTGCGAAAGAAATCATATTCAAAACTGCCGCTTATAAGTAAGTCCGTCTGATTAATATTCAATGAAGTTTAACGTTTTTATTAGTTTATAATATATAAAACAAAAATTTGATTATTACAATGTTTTTTTTTTTAATATGCTCATGGATTAGTTTGCACTATTGCGTTAGAGCTTTGAACAAAAATGAAGTAACAAAACAATTATTTAAAGACTTTTGAAAGAATGAAAATTTTATAAATCTATAAAAAAAAAAAAAAACAAAAGTATTTTACTAAAATAAGTCATGACTCATGAGTATCACATCACATTAACTCTCAACATTTAACTCATCAGATAAAAAAAAAAAAAAATCAAATAACATTACATAAAAAATCAACTCTTACTGAATATCGGAAAGAGGCGAATAACGAAAAGCTTACAGCTAAAGTCTTTTTTTTTTTTTGGTTTTTCAATTACAATCCAAAAATTTGGCTCTTTTTTTTTTTACATTATAACAAAATCACTCAGATTGCGTTCTGGTTGAACCATATTTGAAGGCATTAATTTAACAAGCTTGTTAAAGAGGAAGTCACGACGAGTTCTTAACTCATAAATGAATTCATTTCGCGTTAATTTACCACCCGATTTGCGGTAAGCAGTATAGGAAGAAGCCAAATCGGAAATGCCCGACGAATGAAAGACCGAAGAACTCTCAGACGATTCCATCGATGAATCTTCGGGTGGTTGTGTACGATCGCTATTGTCTTCTGATTTAGAGCAAGCATCTGCGAACAATTTTAAATTAAAAATTTTTTTATGTTATTTAAAGCACAATTAAATACCTTCGTCTGTAAGCATCAAATCTGAAGTAGTTTCAAATTTGTCCGTGCCGAAAGATGTGGTAAGCAAACGCGGCCTTTCCATGGCACACTCACTGAAGTTATTATCGTCAGTTCTGAATAGTAAAGAAGCTAATTTATGGAACTACGGAAAATATAATAATTTTGTTTATTCTTTAAATATTCTTAAAATTATAAAAAATTATTTCTTTATTTACAAGTATATACAATTATTACATGGTACACCACTTATAGAACAAGGACAAATTAAGTTTGCGCGGATTAATACAATATACAGAATGACTTGGGATAGATCCAATTTTTATTATATCAATCGATTCAAAATACGTTTCTGCATCAATATAGGCTTGTCTGTCTGTCCGATGTCTATCCATGTGTTCTTGTTCTGTCCATCACACTTTCTTTCATATATTTTTCTAATGACCATACAAATTTGATACATCGATATGTTTCGGTCCAAGAACGAATGTTATTGCGAATAGTTCTCATCAGACCACATTTTCGACCACTTCCCATATAAGGCCTTATTTTGAAAAGTCGTAATTGCGTTAACCAAAGCGGTGTAGAGTAATTAAAGGTGGGCCGTAGCCTACTATGATGTTTTTACTTGTTTTTATTTAGTTTATTTTTTATTACATAAGTTTAGAGATTTAAATAATAACAATGTCTTACATGTTGTTGTTGTTCCTTATTATTGTGATCCACAATTTCCCCGACATGTTTTCTAAGATATTGCATCGCTTGATAGGTATCAGAGCGTGCCATTTCCTCATACTTCAATTTACGTATCAGAAAGCGACAATGATTTAAAATCTCTGAGCGTTTAGGCCTTTTTTCCATTAAAAAAAAAAAAAAAAATTATTTAAAAAAATTTATAAAAATGAAATTGCATTTCTTACTTTTCTAAACTTAAAATCCAAAAATCGTCCAATCGCAATTGAGGAGACGCCGATCTGCCAGGATTACCACCAAATAAATAATGCAACTGAAAAAGAAGAAAGCTTGATGAAATAGTCAAGAGAACTTCATTATTCGTCGTAAGGCAAATTTTAAATACGCACAGCGCCACTAACTGAAAATTAATTTTTCATTATCCTACATGGACTCTCTTCCCAACGGATATTTATAGGGTAGAATGCAAACATATCAACAACTTTAGTGTGTAGGCCACTAAGATTGTGCAACTGCTTCAGAAGACCACACACGCTTATATATACTGGTTTTATACTGGCATATACTCTATATGCATACACTATATGATATTTTTTAAGGCTATTCCAAAATGACATATCTAACAACAATCCATCCTCTTCGATAATTGGAAGGGTACAATTATTATGAGTACCTTTTCAACTTCATCATAAACAAATTGATGAGCATAACGGGGACAGGGTTCCAAGGGCACATTTGCACGCAAATTCGCCATTTCCGCCGGATTATAATGACAAGTATAAATACGAGACCATTTACGCGAATCTAACGAATATACCCAAAAAGAATTGGAAGCTTCCACATGTTGTATATCACGGCGATCTTTGCTTTTACATAAACTCTGGAATAAAAATAAAAAAAAAAAAAAGTTTTAATTAAATTTAAAACATTTTAAAAAATTCATATATTGCTACCGAAAAAACATAAATTTCATCGCGTTCACAGTCTATTGTAGCTCTGAGGGTATAAGTAGGCGAAGGCTCGTTAGTGCCATCGTTGCACATGCTGGCGCTGTGATTATTATAATTATTGTCGTTTTTATTTAAAATTTCTAAAACCTGAGTATCGACATCATAACAGATAAATTCATGTATATCCGTTTTCACACGCTGCCCTCCATATATGTAGAGTTTACGTTTTTTCTTAAATTATAAAAATTAAAAAATATATCATTATAAATGCTTTGACTCCCCCTTACATTATGAAAAACCATGCAATGAGTTATTCGAGATTTAACTGACATAACATCCGGCAACGACGCCGACGGATGGTGGCAGTCTACGAGTATTTGCGTCCAAGTGTTTGTAGCGATATGATATGAAAACAATCCAGAATACTCTGTCTCGCTGGAAGTGCAAGCACTAACACTGCGTGGCGTTAGTACTTTCCCGCCAAAAACATAGATCATGCGTTTCTCAGCATCGATGCACATCTGGTGATCGTATACAAGTTGTGGGCCGCTAACTTGACTGGTATCATCGCATATTTGTAACCAGGTGCCAGCACGTGTATCATACAAATAGAAATCGCTTTTTATGTACTCCTTAGTTCTTATCGAATTGTCCAGATAACGACCCAGCATAAAGATATTTTTACTTACGGGGTCGAAAATCATTTTATGACAAGAGCGTGGTGTAGGTCCATTCATTTGTTCAGAATGGGCACATAATTGTGTCCAACAATTTGCTGTAATTTCAAAGACCCATAAATCACTGAGATCTTGAAAGCCATCCCAGCCCCCGTATAAATAAATCAAACGTTTCTCTGCATCTACAACTAACTGATGACCGCCACGATTACCTAATAAAATTTTGCAAAATTTATATTTTCAATTCATACCGAATGGAATTTTAAACGTTACTACTGACCTGGTTGTGTTTGTCCCTGAGCTTGTTGCAAACGCCAGATGTGCTTATAATCTTGGCGACTAAGATAAGCATCTACCAGCCCTTCATCTATGCAATTGCTCATAAATTCTTCAGCCTTATCAAAATCACCATTCACGACCAAGCGTTCGTGCAATTCACTTACATGTGGATGCTCCAAATGCACTTGAGTCTCTTCCTGTAAAGCTTTAAAAGCAACATCGTAACCTTGCTGGCGGAAATGTTTCAAACATAAACGTACAATTTCCACTTCACGCAACTAAAGAGCAGACGGTGAACGTTAATTATTAAATACAATTTGCCTTAAATGCAACAAAATAAAACCTTATTATATTCCTTCATGCAGCTATTGGTGTACATCGGATCATCTTGACCCAGCAACTCTATATACCAGATACTATAATTGAACGTAGGGCCCCACGACAGTAAAGGGACAATTTTTAAATATAAGACCGGTAACTTGCTGTAACCATCCTCTGCAATGCAACGCAAATTGAACGTTTCCGGAACATTATCATTTTTCAAGCCTCTATAAAGAAAGGAAAATAGTGATTTACCGGTATGCACAGAAAAGGAAAGAAAATGAAAAATTTCATACCCTTCCAATAGTAATGGCATAAATTCTTCATTTAAACCGCCATATACGCGAAATTTTTTTATGTTGCAAACATGAGATTTTTCAAATTTACCGAATTTAATCTTCCGCACTATTGAAGGTCTGCGCAGTTTTAGGGTTAAGTACTGTGGTGGGTTATTAGTATGTGCTGACCAGCGTGATGACTGATCAGAAGGGCAGTCTACTAAAATATTTCTAAAAAAAAAACAAAAAAAATTCCATTAAAGTTGAATTTTATATTTGTAAACACAACTGTGCTTGAGTAATGCATTGTAAGTATTGGCAACAAGCTTTGAACATTAACGTGAATAATCGTCGCCTCTTGGCTAGCATATGTTTTACAAATGCATTGTTTCACATGTTGAGCGTCATAAGTGCTACATCATTACTTCAATTTCCGGTTAAAACATAAATTTTTTAATGTGACTAGTAAGTATGAAATTACTTAATTAAGTAGTTCAAAAATGGCCCTCTCCAAGTTAAGAACCATTAAGAACCATTGCAAAAGTCAAAAGTTGGGAAATGCCTGAAAATTGTCTAGAAATTGAAATGTGCCTCTCCTGAAATCACCATCAACAAATTACGAAAGATTTCATTATTATGAGGCATAGAGATTACATCTCAACATTTGGTCAGAACTTACTGAGAGGTACTTTCAATTATTACATTAAATATCGAGATCCAGTTCCCATTCCATTATGTCGTAATTTCAGATCCTTGCATTTCTCTACATATCTAGAGCCCATAGGGTAATTATTGAAAGGTCACTTGTCATCATTCAGTCCACCTGAGATATTTACACTTAGGCCGATACTTGTTAGGAACTCTGTTGCCCACTGTTGCTTGCTTTTTATTCCTTGCCTTCTTTAAGGTTTTCGCTAGACCAATGGATTTTGTAACATGACAATGCTCAAACACTCATTGCTAAGTCCATCGGGGGAAATCTTTTCAAAAACCAATCTCTCAAGATATTGTCTGTTGAATTTGTTTTGATCAGTGTAGAATTGTCTGCCTGATAAGTTAAGTTCGTTAAGAAACTTCAATTAATTAGCCATAGTTTGGTCGTGAAACAAACTTGTTCTTCAAAACATGGAAAATAATTCCGATTAATAATTGACCGTACTTTAAAATGATCTCCTAAGACAACAAAAAGAAACATTAGGAAAGCATTTCAAACAATCAATATTATCACAATAGCCGTTACTAATTGCTTGTTTTCTTTTCTTATCAAATTTTTTCTTTTTTTTTTTTCTTTGAAAGTGTGGGAAAGTCACCAACGCAAACAATTATAAACATGCATTACTTCTTGCATTTATTTGTGTAACAGTTCGACACCAACAACAACAAAAATGACCAGTTATGCAAATTGCAGTTTATGCAAAAAAAATAAACGCCTGCCACACATTTTAATTACAACAAAGATCTTCTACAAAACATAGGACGACAACTCACTCAGGCACATAGTTTGTTGAAAAACTTGAAAAGCGATATATTTCATAGGGTAAAATTTCTATTTCTTCCAAATTTATAGATTTATTGGCTGCTACTCCATGTTGATTATTTACGCGGTGCTTGACAGGCGATGTCGTCTTAGGAATCGAAGAGGCCATTATTATTTAACAAAATTATTGTCTGATGTCGTTTCTAGATTTCTTTTTTTTCCAAAATATTACTCTTTAATCAATTGGTTTATTTAATAAATTCGTTGTTAAAAGAAAATAACTACTAATCAAAAAAAAAAAAAAATTTGCAGTCTTATTATGCTTCTTCCTCTTTCATTTAAATTGAATATTGCCAACAACGTTAATAATGCAACAATTTAAAACAAGAAAAAAAACAAAATTTACCACTCTTTAAAGCAAATTTCTCTAAAGTGATAACAATGTACATTAATTCATATTGCTGGCAATACTTGAACAAAACGATGGTGAAAATTTTTTTGTGTATAAGAAGACATCAAAAAGAGAATTATTTTTGCTCTAACTAGAAAAAATTAAGTGAAAAATCCAATTAGTTATTTAAGTTAAGTAAGAAAATTTTAAACCAGAAAGGTTATTAACCTTAAAAATTTACTTTAAAAGTATAAGAAAATCAAGTGCACAAATAAATCAGTAGACTGAAAGAAGAAAAATAAAGAAAAAAAGAAAAAACGGTCTGTAGTGATAGTAGTAGTGAAAGAAAGAAAAGGAGCAAAAAAAAAGAAGAAAAATTCAAGTGCTGTGAAGTGTGTTTGTCACACAAACATACATATAAAGTGAAATTTTTGTGCAGATTTTTGCGTGTTTTAATTTGCACAGCAAATTCGTATATATATATATTTTTTAAATTTATTTTTAAGCACATAGTACTTTAATATAAAGGAAGGAAAACCAGGAAAATGGTAAATTTTTGATTTTTTTAATTCCTCTTTCACAGATCCCATAAAAACTAGTAGCTTAGGAATGCAGTCCCATATATATATGTATATATATGTTTGTGTGCGTGTGTATGTGTGCATTTCATTGTTGGTGAAACTGTGTTTCTGGGTTCCCCTTTGTATATTGTATGTGGTGCGACCCCGAGCATTGAAAATCCAAAACTTTGTTATCGCATCCCCATTTGGCCCTCTACGCATGCCTTATTAGGCGCCATCGTAACAATAAAAATAAAAAAGAAGAATATATAAGCAACGCAGTTAATTCATATCTTAAACAGCACCTGATTATACTAATAAGGAACCAAAAAAAAATCTTTCCTCAGCCATTAAATTAAATTCTAGTTGCGTCTGGTAAATACTTTCTCACTCGATTTAATAATGGAATGTAATCTTTAGCATTTAAACGTATTGAAATTTTTCACTATTATAACTACATTTGCCTGTTATGAAACTTCAAGGCAAGAGTTTTTTTTTCTTTCTTTTTGTCATTATATTAAAATTTTAAATCTAATTTAGATTTCAGTTACTTGCTAATGTATATTTTATATAATTTTTTGCAGGGAAATGAAACTTCTTTGCCTATGGAGATGTGCTCCAATTGTAAGTATTTACTTCTAAATATTATTGAGCTTTATTCAAATCAGTTGCGATCCTTAGGATTTTACAGTTTACAGTTTGCAATAACAACAACAACGACAATTCCTCAAGTCCGTACATAAAAAATGAAATGATTTACTTGAGAAAGACCGTCATCAATATCACACATCACTTCAGATCAAATTATTTAATGTTGTCACATGTCGCTCACGAAACAAACAAAACAAACCTACATGAAATTAGTATTTATTTAGAAATTTCATAATTTTTTTTTTTTTGTGTTTTTCTTTACAAAGTACAGTTATTAATAGATTATTTATCTTCTATTCATCATCGGCAAGTAGCTAATATGCAAAGATTTTTAGTAGAAGATATATTGAAATTCTGGTTATACGTTGATGCACCTTAAGTAGCCTTCACTCAGTTTAAGGTGATTGGCATCGAGAACATATATGTGTATGTGCGTTTGCATGTGTAGCGTATGCATTCAATAGAAACATTGTTCAAATATAATTTTAAACATTTTTTTAAGTTTTTTAAAATTATCTTCGACGTATGCAGGGCAAACTGTTTCATAAAATTACAATTTCGGCCCTCAGACTTGGTCTAGGCAGTGTGAAATGAATCACCGAAAGATAGTTGTGTGCTAGATTTATTATTTTGTATTCAACAACTAGAAATATCCACAAATTTGATCTACTTGTTGATCAATTTGTTCACTTACGCTGTCAATCGTAAATAATACACAAAAAAAGAACACTTATTTTTTCAGTAAATTGGGAAAAAAAAGGAATGAAAACTTTATATAGTGGGCCACGTCCCATCATTACATACCCTACACCACCCCACAATTATTCATATAACTATTTCGCAAAATAAGACTAAGTGATTGAAAAAGTGGACCGATTCGTACTATTTTCAATAGCTTTCATGATTGGGCCAAAACAGGTGCACCAGATTTCAGTAAAATATCGCGAAAATTGCTCTCTGTAGGTTGAACACAAAAAAAGAAGTCGGACAAAGAGACAGACAGACTTGCAATCATATTCTGAATCGATCGATATAATAAAAGACAGCTCTAGCTCAAGTCCTTCTGGATGTTGCATATATCCCCACAAACTTAAAACAACAACCAAATTATGTGGACCATCAAAACTAGATCGGATGAACCTCATCAAGAAATATTTAGTGCCTCCTTATTGACCTTTCTAGAAACTTGTAATAAATGGTGAAGTGAAATATTGAGAATTAACACCAATAATCCTTTCGAGATTGGTTGTTTGTATCAAGCACCGAGGAACACTCCATTCCAGGAACACTAGAAAGTACATCAGTATCAAATTCTTAATCGATCTAGGCATGTCTACCCGTCCACCTGCATGTCTTTGTGCAATAAGCTTTCGTGCGGTGGGAAACATGGAGGCAAGAGCTCCAAATTTGACATTTCAATGCCAGGTAAATTGGTAATGAAAATAGGTAAAATTTTTCAAAGGACCAGTCCGCATTGTACCACCATTGTGTTTTGTAAAAATTCCAAAAAGGAAGAAATGCTATACAAGGATATAGAAAATTGTAGGAAACATTTGGTGAGATGGTACACTTTCTGATAGAGAATAACCAGATGATATTGTCTTATAAGCCACCATCTGGACGACCATTTTTGATTAGTGTCGATAGTGCGAAGATAACGTTAAGGCAAAATCCCTTATTGATGACATCGGCGATTACGGAAAGGCGTGATGCAGCTCAACAAACCATTTCGGACTATATTCGAAAACTTTGTGGCATCTTCACTGAGTTTGCGCTTATTTGTGGACTCGGCCACAACGTTTACATGCCTACATGAAAAAAACTTTTGTTTGCAAAATAGAAAAATTCAGCCATGCCCACACGATATTATCGAGCATGAAAATTTAGTTGTTTCACTTTCGTTTTCTTTTTTAGGATAACGGTGATGGGTATAAAAAATTCGGTCGCGACCGAATATAATTTTCCTACTCGCTTTTTATATGATCAGCAATAGGTGCGAGCACGATGTTGGTTAGGGAGGGTTATAAATAGAGCGAAACGAAAGGAAAAAGAAGAGTAGTATCTGTATACGTTTGACGTGAATGTGAAAACGTCAGACATGATGGGACAGACCACTGTTAGTAGATTGTTTCAGGCGCGGGCAGTGTGGTTAAACAATGACGAGTGCGGTATTGTGACGTAGGATAGGCAAGCGAACGTGGGGGTAGCAAAGCCCAAGAAATCCTTGTGGTCCTGCTAAAGGACTTAATAGCTGGAACTTGTTCCTTTTAACTCTCTAGAACTGTGCCTATACGTAAGCACGGTACGGCTGCAGGTACCATAAATGTATTTTATAATAAAACATATAACTTAACATATAACAATATTTTTATCAATGAAATATATTTTGTCTGTTAACAGTGCATATATATTTACATTGTCTAAGAAACTGACAGGTAACGATGGCTTTTTTTTAATAACTAATTAACGTTACAGCATAAAATTCTGCTCTGCATCCATCCAATGCATTCTTTTTCACTGAAAAATAATTAAGCTACCGAAATATTCATCTTACACCCACCCACATCCTTCCTTATTACCTACATCACTTGCGGTGCAAAGATATATTAAGTTTGTGCGGATGTATGCAACATCCAGAAGAACTTGAGATAGATTCATCTTTTACATTATAGATTGATTCAGAATTTTTTTTTTTGAATCGACCTAAGCTTGCCTGTCAGTCCGTCAGTCCATCCGTCTGTCTGTCTTTTTTACCTGTTTTGAATCTAAAGATCGAAATAGGGTTATTATTAGAGTTATACCGTATATCTAACCAAGGACAAAATGCAATCAGAACTGGTCGGATGGGTCCACTTGTGCGAGCACTTCCTATATAATGCCCTATTATGTGAAGTTATACATATAGGCGGTTTACGGTCTTTGTGGCTATAGTAATTATGGTGGGCCGTGGCACACTAAAGTATTTTTACAAGTTTTCAACTAATTTAATGTAAAAAAATAATTTATCATTACTATTCTTTTCAGTCGATGCCGATGAGATACGACGCTTGGGTAAACGTTTTCGTAAGCTCGATTTAGATAATTCGGGTGCCTTGAGTGTCGATGAGTTTATGTCATTGCCTGAATTGCAACAGAATCCTTTGGTGCAGCGTGTAATCGATATATTCGATGCGGACGGTAATGGTGAAGTTGATTTCAAAGAATTCATTCAAGGCGTTTCACAGTTTAGTGTCAAAGGCGATAAATTGTCAAAATTACGTTTTGCGTTTCGTATTTACGATATGGATAACGATGGCTATATCTCCAATGGTGAATTGTTTCAGGTAAAATTTCCAAATTTAAAAATATGATAAATTCAAATTCAATTTAAAATTAATTAATACAAATTTATTATGCAGGTGTTAAAAATGATGGTGGGCAATAACCTTAAGGATACACAATTACAGCAGATCGTAGATAAAACAATTTGTTTTGCCGATAAGGATGAGGATGGTAAAATATCCTTTGATGAATTCTGTTCGGTGGTCGGTAATACAGATATACACAAAAAAATGGTTGTTGACGTTTAAAAGAATTAAAAATATAGAAGCAAAACCAACAAGTAATCATCGTTAATCTCTAATCTCCCTGTCTCTCTTTTTCCTCCCCCCCAAAAAACAAAAAAAGCCAACAAATACACACACGTACTCAAATGCATATAGGAACATACTTAAAGTTATATTTTTACTCTTGTAAATTTTCTATAAGAAAATAGTCTCTTTAAATTTATACATACATATATAAATTATACAACAAGAAAAACAAAGCTGGATTAAAAACAAAAACAAACAAAAAAAAAAAAAAGAAATTAGCAAAAAAGAATAAACTTTGTTATTTTTATTTATATATTTTTTAATTAATTTTAACTTTTTTAAATCGCGTTATAAGACAAATTGTAACATAAAAACAAAACTATCACAAATAATGGATTTATTTAAGCCAATCACGTTTTGTTTAGAAAATTAATTAAATTAAATTAATTCATTTAAAAAAAAAAAAAGAAAGAGAAAATAAGCAAATAAAATACCTATAACGCATTACCTACATACACATGATTATAAACTATTTAATTAAAATATGTTTATAAAAACTTAATTTGTACTTTTAACATAAATTCTAAACAAAATTTTACACAACTCTAGACCGAAGTAAAATATGATAAAAAAAAACAAAAGAGCAAAAAATAAATAAATAAAAACAAAGGAGATAGGTTAACTTTAAATCTGTGCAATATAACAACATAAACACATAAACATACAATACCTAAATAAGCCTCTTTATCAAAAGTAAAGCAATTAATCATTTAAAAATAGATAAGGGAAAATAATTAATTGAAAATAAAAATTAATATCAAATCAACTTAAAAAAAAAGGAAAGAAAAAAAAAGAATATATATATATATAAAGAGAAAGCATTTTTCTCAAAAACATTACATTAAAAAAACAAAAAACAAAAACAAACAACCAAACAACAATGAAAAATTTTAAATTTCAATTCTAGTCCACTGCTTCTGGCTGATATTGTCATCTTAAGTTTCCTAAAAAGTTTCTTTCAATGAAAAGTTTCTAAAATTCAAGAATATTTATTAATTAATTCATGGTTTTCAATAACTGAAGCTTATGAGACCCCCCGTATAATGACTAAAAATAACTGTTCACAACTTTTCAACATCAGTTTTACACTCTATGCCTTCCTTTACTTTTTATATACGAATATAAATATATATATGTGTATATATGCATATATATATATATACATATATATATAACGGGAAAAAAAAAATCTAAAGTAAAATTTGACATAACCATTATACATACATACATATATACGCTAACTATATAACTAATAACTAACTAAACAAAAAAAAAAAAAAAACTCTTCTCTTCTTTTTTTTACATATTTTGGAAAGTTAAAAATAATATAAGGAAAAAACAAAATTCATATAAAAAATAGAATCCGCATGCAAAAATTTAAGAGAAAGTGCAGTGCGAAATTGTTTGATCGGTTTTCAAGTCGATTTTGTTACGGCCCTACACCACATTTATATTGAAATATAAAATACACTTTTCGCCTCTCAACGGATTGTTATGTCATATAAGGGCAGTTTTCATGAACTGATCTTTACGCAAAATATATCTAAATAGAAGAAAATTTCGAACCTAGCCCCCAACAAATCCCATAATTTTAGCAAATAATTGCTTTATATAAATTAAAAAAATTCTTCGCAGTACAAATATCAAAATACACTAAGTCTTTTTTGCACGCGCCTTACAAAACGTGTACGTTCCTTACAAAAACGTGTAAAAATATACTTGCGGCATATCGTAAATTAGGAGATATGTTCCACAACTTAAAAAGTCTTTTCTTACAAAATCGTGCAAAAAAGGAATCGCGTAAAAATATACATGCGGCGTACGGTAAATTTGGCAACATGGCGCACAATTTTAAAAAATCGTGTAAAACTTTAAGCACTTTCCCAAAAAAAAACCGTGCAAAAAAAATTAATAATGAAATCTACACACATATATAGTTACAAGCCAAAAACTATTCATTTTTATTGCAGAAAAAAAAATTAAAATTAATATAGAGTGAAAATTCGGTGCGTAAGCATGATATACAAAAAGAGTTAAATTGAACATGGCAATAAGAATTGATTTCCCAACCATGTATCGGTACTCGATAACAAGACTCCACGTTTATTACGGAGTGAACCAAAAACGCTTCCGTCTACAGATTGATATGTCAGCCTATGATCTGATGCATATGATCTATTGTTTGTGATTGAAATGAGGGATTTTCTTCACATGCTGTAGTAGACCAAGTCACTAACACATGTGTGAATATAAACCGACTCGTTTCCGATCACCGTTTTTGGAAGACAGTGTCAGCATTAAAATTTGAAGAAAAAATTTTTTGGAATTCGTATCGGAACAAAAAATTCGGGTTAAAAAACAATATTTATTCTTACTGGTGAGCCGTGTTACTTCAAAATCGAATAAACATATAGACTGAGTCAAGAAAGTGTCGAGTGTAATGTTCTATACAAAGAAAAAAGCTTTAAGTCCAAAATTTACTACGATCTTAAGCCTTACGAAAATAGTGCTTCCCAAGCTTAAAACAGTAAATTTTGCAAGTTACGTTGGTCCGGCTATTGGATGCCAATTTCTTTAGGTGGAGATATAAAAAAGGGAAGATAAGTTTTGTGCTTTCGCAAAATCATTCCACAATTTCGGTTAATTTGAATAATACGTAGGTTGATTTTTTCTCGTAAATAATTATATTAACTTTCTTCTTCTTCTTCTATTCAGCAAATCAACAACCCAAAATTCACTGAGATGTGCATTATACTACCTTTCAAAACGATATTAATTATCGATGAATGGCCATTTACACCAATTCTATGGCAGGCAAAGCCAACTGCAGGTTAGCACATTGCAATGCTGGAAACAGATTATTACCGCCTTTACGAGCAGACCTTTTTCTGATTGCCGCTGTGATATGAAAGTAGGATTGGTCCGTTGATGAAAACTATTGCCCACTCCTGATTATGTGTAAATGGAAAAAGAGTTTAAAATTGGTGAAGGGTTCATCTATATCGTACGCACATTTGACATGACCGCTCTCCCTGAGAGAAAAAATAATGCTGCTATTGAAGATTCACCTTCCACATCATTTAATCTAAAATCATCTTTAGATATAAGTTAGAAAAAAGCAAAAGTGAAAAAGATCGCAAGGGATCAGATACAGGAAAGCAAACTACGCCAAACAGCGCATTGGAATTTGTAGGGATATCTTTTTTAATCATTTTGGGCATAATGTGGTTTGTTTTGATATGGGCCTCGATTTCTTCTTCTCACTTTTGTTCTTGTACCAAGGCCTTCAAGAATTTCAACTATTCGGCTCACCTAAAATCATACAAGGAGAGATCTCCTAAGTGATTGGGCATACTTAAAAAACAACGCATCTACTACTTATAAGTGTAGTTGGGCATATTAGCAGACTTATGGCATCCATTGTCACACTTCACTTATGTTTGTTTGGATGGAAGTCTATTGTTTGTTTTCCTTTTTTTCGTGTATCGTTCTATCTATCTCAGTTGTGGCAGGTCTAGGAATTTTTTACTAGATCGAAATGTTCATTATTAAGGATTTAAAATTTTGGAAAAAATTTCATATAATATTTTGCAAAATTTGTGGAATAAACGGAGACTCTAAAAATAATTCAGCTCAATCTCGCAAGAGTTCTATAAATATAACAAAGTGATCTTTGGCCAAATATGTGGATACATAGGTTTTTTTTGTAAATTATAGATACTATCATGAATAAAAAGAAGCTTGATGCACTGGTAACAGCGCTTAAGATGTAGAAGTTCGTTGGCAAACATCACTGAAGATCGTAGCAGCTTGCGCACAAACCTATCTGTCTACGTAAAGAATGTAAAGTTTTTTCTTAAAGGTCTATAACCTTGGAACGAGACAGTGATCCGACACAATCGATAAGATTGAAGAGTTATTATAAAGAGTTTGAAAGGAAAGGGTGCCATACATTCTCAGTTCAACGTTTTTCTAATATTATAGAAGGTTGTATAAGTACGTGAATACAATATGTATATATATATATATATATATATGTATTACATATATATATATGTACATATATTTAAAAATGATTCGATTTTAACCTACCCAGAGTCTGAAAAATTTAAAAAAAAACATCGAAACTTTCTCGCGTGATAAACATAAGATCAATTCAATAGCAACGAGAAGTCAAGCCGTGAATCTCGCATCCTTCGCCTATTATTTTAATTTCGCAACATTTCAGCGCTTCCATAAAAGACTTACATATACATATACGTACTCTATCACATCTTACACAACGAAATTCTCTTTGTTTTTTACCATCTCAAAATCCCAGAACACATTCGATCAAAAATCTTGAAAAAAAAAAATTTGAAACTTGAAAAAGATCACTTCCCGTAAAATGATAATAGTTACTTTGCGAATGTGATAACACGTGCGCACATTTATATGTATATATATATGTCTGCAATCAAGCCAACCACCAACTTTATTAAGATTCAAACAAACAACTTCTTGTTCACATTGAACCTTTTTGCACTCAACTCATCTGTTGTTGATTTGCTGAAGATCATCACAGACTCCTCCTCTTATTTTTCTCTTAAAGGACTGGTTAATATGGAAAATATAATGTTAAGCGAATTTTATTAAAAAGTGATAGGGAGTGAGACGATTGAAATGTTCATCATAAATAAATTCGACATTTTCAATTCGCAAATGTTGTCAGAAAATTTAAAAATTTCCAATCAATTATCATATGAAATCATTTATTAAATAGAGATGAAATTGATCGTCTAAAAAATATCACCTTTACGACATATTGGAAGAGCATGAAAGTGAAAAAAATTCATTCACAACACACAATATTTTTTTATATTTTGGACGAAAGTTGATAAACTCCCACTATTGAAAGATACCACCTTTTCAAGCATGACTTTTTTTTTCTCTTTTGTGGTGTAGGGTATATTCTTAATAATAAACACAAAAAAAAAAAAAAAAAAATCATTCACTCTCTTAAGATTATTGAAAATGAAATTTTAATTATTAATTGGGAGTTACTTTGAAGAGTAAGTTACGATTACAACCAACACGAAGAAAAAAAAAAAGAAAAAAAATTATCGACACATTAAAAAGAAAAAACAAATTAAATTTTAATTACAATAAATTCAAATAAAAATTATTAAAATGATAATAAAGACAAGAAGAACAAGAGAAATAAGTAAAAATTTTGAATAAAATATTTTTATTTCAATTTTCATCTTTAAGAAGTTTCTATTTATTTGCTATTTTTAACTTTAACTGATGTCGTTTTACTATCATTTTTGCTCGAAGAAAGTTGAAAACGTTTATCGATTCTTTTGAGCTTTTTAACTTCACTTGGAGTTTTCTCATCTAACGTGGATTTCAATTTCTTTTTTCCGCTTTGAAATTTTTCTGCGTCTATGGCTTTAAAACGTTCATCCTCCACCAGTTTCGACAAGTCTTTGCTTTCCGAAAACTTCAGACGTTCTTTGCGCTGACGCTTTAATTCACGGATTTTATCTTTTTGTTGCTTTTTATACCTAAAAAGAATTTGTATCAAAATGCTAAACTTTCCTTTCCTTGCTCTTCACATAATAACTCACAAATTTTCCATTTCATCGGGATCTTTGCCTTCTACAATCCATTGTTTACGTCTATAGTTTTGCGCGCGTTCGTTGAAATCGTTGTTGTCCAACTGCATCTCCGATTCTCGACGGGTAACATTAACTTGCATAAAGATGCGTTCGACCAAACGTTCTAAAGAATTATTTATTCACTTATATTCCTTTATAGATTTAAATTTTATTCGCTTACGATCTATTGGATGTTCGGTTAACTTGATGTTAATTGCATTTTCAATTTGTCCCAACAGCTCCAGATCACGCGGAAAACGGAATATTGAAATTGCTATACCTTTACGCCCAGCCCGTGCCGTGCGTCCCACACGATGTATATATTCTTTGGGAGTCCGAGGTAAATGATGATTCATAACCAGCTGAACACTGGGTATATCCAAACCTCTCGCAGCCACATCCGTAGCAATTAAAGTGCGTACATGTCTGGATTTAAATCGATTTAAAGCTGCCACTCGCTCCTTTTGGCGCATAAAACCATGCAAGCAAACATTTTCAATACCCATTTTTTCCAATGTCATGGACAACAATTGACAGTATCTACCGAGAAAACATAAGATCTCAATATTAGTAAATAAGTACGAGAATTATATTCGGCTAGGGCCGAGATTTCTATATTTATCCGAATCTCGCATAGCCATCACTTTGTTTTTTGCATTCTACTCTCCAAGTTCTTTTATTTGATACCCATATCGCTGGTATTACTAAGAAAAAATTAACCTATCTAATGTCTATCATATTCGTTTTAAAATTAGCCCATTTTTAATTAGATAATATATCTTCATTTAAGAAATGTACAAAGTAGTTTGAAACCTTCTGTCTTGTTTGCATTATGGTAACTAAGCATAAAACCTCAAAAAAATGAAAAAAATAAAATTTAATTATTCGTAACTTTGTGAGGGCATGGCCTATTGGTTCCATTTTTGGACCTAGAGAGAAGACCGCTTCGTAACATAAAAGTGGAGAATTTCAACCGTCTAACTTCGATAATTTCCGAGTAAAGAGCAAAAATCCAATAATTAAAAAAAAAAAAACTGAGTTGCATTTAATTTACGCCGTAATGCGCACTTCCGCTGTGGCCAATTTGACCTCTTTTCAATACCGACCTGCGTGCAGAAACTTGCTAATGCTTCTACAAAATTGGATGTCGATATCTTCTTTTTGCGACGAGGAGAGTGCCAACAATAACCGCCACACAGACGGACAGACACGGCTAAAAAAACGCAGAATTTAACGCTGATCAAGAACATATATATATTCTAGCATCTCTGAAGCTTCCTTTTGGGTGTTATGTGCATTATGGAAAAAGCAAAATGAGTATACCCTCATCTTACAGTGATGGGTATAAAAAGGAAAAAACAAAAAAATAAAATTTCAATGATCCATAATACTGGAAGGGTGCGGCCGATTTTTCCCATTTTTTAGATGGTTTGTACGGCCATCTATAGAATATACGCGAAAAAGTTTGTCGCTTATCTGCTGTAGCTTATAATAACGAGCAGAGTCCTATTTTTTACTTTTCAGCCGAAAGATTACCTCAGTTAATCTTGCATTGTGAGAACATCTTCCTTTCAAAAACTTCCAAACTTGAAAACAATACAATGTTTGTGATTGACAGATTTTAGTACAGGCATTGCACAAACAATATTAGATATTTATAAATATATTAGATTTATCAACATTCCACCAGCTTTTGTTTAGATTCATTCACATTAGCAGCATAAATTAAATATTAAAAATAACTCTGTGATTCCTATATTCTGAACAAATGATACTTTTTATGAACTATATGAACAGACCGACGTGCTTAGGTCGATAGGGAATTTGGTACTGATCAACAACTTTATAGGATCTCTAAAGCTTCCCTATGGGGTATTACAGGACCGCTTGACAAAACCAGTGTAAGCCCACCTTTAGAGTGGGGTAAGTCATCGCGAGTCCATTTAATCTTGTTTGTCCATTTTGTTCTTCCTATATTATCATCGCAACATATTGAAAAACTAAGCAGATCTAGTTGGTGGCGAGCAGATAATAGTTAAGTTTTAAAATAAAACTGAGAATACGTAAAACGAAAGATCTTATATTACATTCAATACTCACTTAAGGCGAGCGTAAGATGTTTACATTTTTTGTACCTACTTTTTCGTATTCGTAAATATCATCACATTTGCGGTTTCATTTTCCTCGCGATATTTACGCAAAGCCTCTACTAATACCATATCACGATCATAATTCGCGCATAGCAGATAGCGTTGATCCAATGTATCTACCGTGGCCACTTGCGACTCTTCAGACCATTCAAAGCACTTTTAATGACATTCAAGTAAATTTGTGCTGTTATTATTATTATTTTATTTTATTTATTTTTTTTTTTTTGAGAAGCTTACCTCCTCTCTTATAGGGAATATGCTAGATTCTTTGATGAAATCCTTCATAGTGGCGGAGAAATAAAGATTTTGTCTAGTTTTAGGTAAACTATTTTCGATAATGGCGAGACTTTCATCAAAGTCGCCACTAAGCATACGATCGGCTTCATCAACTACCAGGAACTTTAAATTATCAAAAGAAAATGTATCACAGCCGGTTAAATGGTCAGCTAAACGGCCAGGCATGGCAACTACTATATGGGGACGTTGCATCAACTTTTGAGCTTCGATAATTTGATCGGTTCCACCTGACACCACGCAAACTCTGACTCCCATTGGTTGACCGGCTACCAGGAATTGTTCAGATATCTATCATTATATGTAATAATAATTATTAATCTTTACTAAACGGTATTAACTATTTACCTGATAAGCCAATTCGTGTGTGGGAGTTAGAACTAAAGCAAAATGACTGACAGGTTCCTCACTTAATTTTTGCAATATGGGTAAAGCAAAGGCAAACGTTTTGCCCGAACCTGTCTTCGCCGCTCCAATGCAATCCTTACCTTCTAATATGGCTGGAATGCAATTTTGTTGTATTGGCGTGGCTTGTTTTAGACCTGCAGATAGAGCATTTGCAGGAAAATGTAATCTAATAATTAATTTCTAATGTATATATGTACCCAATTTCCTTAATTGTTTAACGAGCCAAGGTCTTAAACCCAAAATTTGAAATGGATTTTCTTCTGATTTTAACATTTTTCAACTTCCGAGATAACTTTTAATTTCAATGTAAACAACACGTTGATTCCAGCCCTTGCCAGATGTGCGAACAATCGTCTCATATGTTGCCAAACAACTGCAAAACAGGTATGGTAAGAAAGAAATTTCGGTTTTATTTATTAAAAACCAGTTTTTCTTCTTTTTTAATTGCTGATATTGTCTGCACTAAACCAATAGGAAGGCTTATATATCCACTCCAAAAATTCTTGGAAATTGTTGAATAAAAAAATTTGTTTTTTTCCAATTTAAAAAAGAACTGCTGTTACTCATTATATTTAACATTAATAAAATATCAAAAACAGAACTCTTAGAAATTTTAAAAAGTATACTACACTTGGATATTGGGAAAAGGTGATGAGGATGGATTTGAACTAGATTTCAGCGAATGAACTTAAATTCTCTTGGCATATCGAATATTGAAAAAAAACATTTCGCTACCACTGTTAGACATGTTTAAGCCCTTCTTCCCTAACTATCTATTAGAAAAATGGGGAAGAGGAGATCCATTAATAATACGTCTATATGAATAAAAGCAGACAACAGAAAAATTCAAATAACTGGCTCTATTCATTAATATTGATTTACGTTCAATATCTTGACAGAATCTTCAAATATCATTGGAATTTCACTTTGTTTACTTTTTTATTTACTTAAAATACAAAACAAATGTTTTAATTTCAAAACTCCTTAATTCCATATCCACATCAAAAGGAAAAGCTTTCGGAATAATATGCTGGTTCTATTTATTTCTTGGCGCTTTGACCAATCTTCGCTTTAGCGGTACCACGCACCTTCTTCATTCTGTTTTTACGTTCTTTGCGCTGTTTACGAGTCTGTTTTTTAATTTCTAATAATCCATGCCGGGCCAAACGATATTTAGGTTCAAATTTCTTAGCGAAATCCAAAGTATCATAGATTAAGGCAAATCCAGTTGAGCGTCCGCCACCAAAATTGGTACGAAATCCGAAAACGAAGCAAACGTCCGGCGTTACCTTATACATGGCTGCTAACTTTTCACGAATTTCAGTTTTGCTCACAGATGAAAGGCCCGGATGAATGACATCGCAGACCATTTGTTTGCGGCATAGCAGACGATTCGTCATAAACTTTCTTGTACGTATAGTGGCCGTGGTACCAGACATGACTACGTTCTGTAAAGAATAAAACGAAATAATTAAAATTGTTTATGCATCTTTCGTTCCCTCATATTAAGCACACATTGCCCACATAACCTCTCTCTTCGTACTGTAGAGGTTTTAACAACAGAATTTGACAATTGCTACAGGGCTACAAAAATTGAACTCCACGTGTTTTATCCACAATTGCCACAGTTCATTTTAAATAGTTAATAGAGATATTTCCTTTTTCTTGCTTCTAAATATTTTATATCATATTTGCCAGTTTTTTTTAATTTTTACCTTTTAAAACAATTGAAAAGTTTTAAAAACACGTCTTTAAAGTAGACACAATTTCACGAAAAAGAAAGATGGATGCCGGCAGAGTGACCTACGTTTTCTATTTTTTATGTAGTTATTAAGGGTTGCCTTTTTATTTAGTATAATACTTTTAGTATAATTTTATGAATATAAAATTATTTATAAAAAATTTCTTTAAATGTGATGCCCAACAAATAGAGAAATCGTAAAAAAATTCAAATCATTTACCAAACATCCCAATAGATATTTTTACAGTATTTCTATCTATTCGTTCCCGCTTACGAAAAAAGTGTTATTCCAAAGTCATAACCAAAACGACATTCTTCCAATTGCTCTATCGAATCTCTTTGATTTATCTTATTGTCTATTTGCTTTAAATTTCCATTCACAAATAATCACAAATAAAGACATTATAGTAGGGAAATAGTTTATGTTTATTAACAGCAGAAAAAAATAACGAAAAGATTGGCAAGCTTTTCCTTTTGTATATAAGTTTTACTTAAATACATGAGGCATTTTTATAGGTCTTTCTCTTTCCTAATCTCATTTTAAATTACTTTTTGCAGCTTTTTCTGGTGACTACGATCTTTAACAAAGAGCTCTTCTGTTTGAAATCTACTTGTTCACAAGTTGTATTAGTAGAAAGCTTTTTTTAAACATGAAATTAGGCTAATATGTTATATAAAGAACCATTGTAGAAACGCTGCCCTAAATCATCGAGATGTATTAAGGAAAATAAGTTGAAAACCTTACTTAATCTATGTGAAATTGAATGAAGAATCACACAATATGAGATACTTTAATTTACTGCTTGTGCAATTTTGAATTAATGAAGATGTGGTAACTTTAAAATTTCACCGATGTAAATGCAAGGAGTAAAATCAGCTGCTTTTACTGCAGAGAGTGTGAGAAAAAAATGTGAATTTTACCCCCTGCGAAATCTATAAAAGCAACAAAAATCCGTTTAGATTTTCAGCGAATTCACATCAAAGCAATTGGACATCGCAGTTTCTGAAGCTACAAATCATATTTTTTTAGTTCAATTTATTTCAATAAAATCGTATAACGTTCAAAGGAAGTGTTAAATGAACATCGTTTAAAACAGTAATAGAAGAGAAAATTCATTATTAAATGTAAGTAATGAGTTTTAATAATTGAAAAGAGAAAAACCTAACCTTTTAAACAATGAAAAGTTGAAAATGTCAAAGTAAAAAAAGTGGAAAATACTAAAAAAAATTACGTGTTATGTAAGCGGTGAAAAATTCTGATATGAACAGACATTGCCAAAAGCATTAAATACGAAATTTTCGGTGCCAAGAAAATCGGAAACTGCCTGTTACGTGTAAAAAAACAATTTATTTTGTTTGTTGCTAAGTAAAATCTAGTGTAAGAAAAAAACATGTTTTGCAAATATATGAAATTTTAATAAGAAAGAGTTTCTGATTGATTTTTTTTTTTTCTTGATGTGATAAAAAAAAAGAACGGTAAAAACTGTTATTGTTATTGATGCTGATGCTTTACATAAACGCTAATAAAGAACAGTTTTTTTCCATTGATTGTGGAACACCGAGAAACTAAAGTGCATTAAGTATGTCATTCCATATGCGACATGGAGAGATATACATTTACGATCTCCTAAATCGTCTTTATGTTCTTTAGAACGTAGTTAGAATTCTGCATTTTTCAAACGGCTAAACCTTTGATTTTTTTGTTGCAATAATTTTGAGTTTTGCGAATTAAGTCTTAAAATTTCAAAAAGTTTAATATAAAAGAATTAAATTTTTTGGCATATGCTTAAATGAGAGGAATTTATGTTCATTAAAGCGTAGTTGCAATTTCATATTTTTCAAATAAAGTTCCGAAACGGATTGGGCTTGAAAGATCAAGAAGTTTAGCTTAGGCTTTCAGTTTTAACGGTTTCAAGCATAATAATATTAAACTCGTAAGTAACAGAAATTTATATAGTTAGCACTAAAAAATAGCTTCTATAGCGTTTGCAGCATACCGTGTCGTATACGCTTGGGAAAAGTATTTATTTATATTCTGAATCGTTCTAATTTTATGAATATGTTTCAAATCGCCCTCCTTCTCTACGTCGTCGCTTGTTGAAACAATCAGTTGACATACCGTCAGTGAGAAAAATATCTGCCTGCAAAAGGCGGCCTGTTTAATATACCCGTCGGTGTACATATATATGTATATACAGACATATATAATTTGCATAAAGTCTTTTATTGTTTTTAAGATAATTGAAAAGAAATTTCTTTTTTCCTTTGTTTTCCTTACATTAGATTTGTGCTTTAAGAAACTACAATAAATCCGTGCGTGCCTTTGTGAGTCTGACGAGCTGTAATTGTTAAAGGAAAGAAATATACCATCAACAAAATGAAAACAACAAGTGTGGGTCGTTACGCTTTACGTTTGTCTTTCGGACAGGTGAGTGTGCAATAAATATTTATAAATAATTATGATAATTCTCATGATGTGTTGTTGTTATACAACACAAAAATCTAAAAATTGTGATAAGCGTGAAAAACAATGACTTTGAGCGCGGGGGTAGAGAAGAAAAAAGTAAAATACTTAATATCGATTTTTTTAAAGCTTAAGATGTACTCCATATTGCCTTCAATTAAAAAAAAAGAAGAAAAAATCACAATAACTTAAGCATTACATCTGTGTTTGTTAATTAATGTTTTTCTCTTCATGCACACATTTTGTTTATCTTTCTTCTTCATTATCATAGCAGAACCTTTGAAGAAGGTAACTTAATCAGCGGCAATATGGAGTCATCTGGTTTGCAAGCCGGTGACCTATGCATCGATTGTCAGCAGCTGGGTTTGGAAAAACGTTTACGTTACTTTACCATTAATTTACAAGAGGAGCAAATATTGAAATGCGAAAATGTATTCTGCTTATATCCACATAACGATGAGCTATCATCATCAACCGATGATGATAATGATGATGATAATAAGACTGATTATGAATATTTTACAAAAACACAAACAGAACCACAAACCGCGACGTCACCAAACGGAACGTTAAGTGGAGAAGAGTTTACTAACTTTTTAATTACTAGTCACCAGCAAACAAATCTAGATTATAGTTTAGATTTTTTAGAATTTCTTGAAGAGGAAGATCTAAAAGTGACAGCGACATCATCCGTACAGCAAAATGATTTATGCGTAAATTTGCCTTCGGTTAATAAACCAGAGAATGGATTGCAGCAAAATGCTTTAAATTTAAATGTCCCTTCGATTAGTGAGCAGGATACTGCAACCGCTGTTTGGCGTGGAACAATAAAAGAGGAAATGAAGGAAAAACCAAAAATTGAAATACAATCTGTAGAGACTATAAAAGCAGGATCAATTTGTAATTTAGATAAATCTTTCCGAAAAATACCCAAAGCCAATATACGTTCGGGTCAAACAAAATTGAAAAACAAAAAAGTCCAAAAAACTAAGATAAATGCTTTAGATCAAGTTATGAGTTTATTAAAATTAAAAAAAAATTCTTAAAATTTTTTTACTAAACACATTATTAATAAACACATGCTAAAGCACGCTTTAGAAGCGTGCTCAATAATTAGCCGATAACGGTTTTTCCTTTTCTACTTTTTTTTTCATTTACTTGTTTTTTTTCTTTTTCTCAATAGCTACAATAAATATAATCTTTAACACATGCACTTAATGATAATAAAGTCATTTATGGAAATAATATTTTTTTTTGTGAAATCTGCCATCAAACAAAAATCCGTAACATCAACCCTATGATCGACCTTAGAATTTACGTCAAGCTCAGAGAGATTGTTGTTCTGTTTATATATATATATATTTTTTTTTTTTCTTTGTTTTTGTTTTTGCGTTTTATATTTGAGGTTGAAGACCGCAGCACCTGAGTGATACACACTTTAATTATTATAATTAATTAAAGTAAATTTGCAGTTTATTGCTCCACGCATTTAATTCATTAAAAACACTTTTTCATATTTTTAAAAACTATTCTTCAGAATAATTAATTTTAAAAAAAAATAATTCATTTGAATTGTTCTAAGATCTTTCCAAACTGTGGCTTGTTGCCAAAAAGCTATTCGTCCGATAAAATTAACGAGTAACTAATTACTTACTTGGTGAGTTTTAAAAATAATTAAATTAAATTTGTTCTAAATTCTTTTTAAACCTATGGCTCATTGCCAAAAAACTAATAATAAAAGTAGAACGAACAGATATATGTAAAAAGAAATTACTATAATTTTTAAGTACAGGCGTTTCCCGCATAACGCGGTACATATAAAGCACGGCTTCGATACGACACGATCAAATCCTAAATGCGTTAGGGTTTTCAATGAGGCCAATAGCCTTACATGTTAATGCAGTCTTTAGTCTTGGTATTTATATCTGTGGCCAATTTAGTTATAGTAAATATATATATATATATATACATATATATTAGGTGCTTGCAAAAATTTTGATAATTTTTTCACATGAAGGGACCATTAACCATATATCGATAAAAATTGGCATAACGTACATTACTCGAAATATTTTCCATCATTTTCTACAACAATTTAAGAAAGAACTTATATTGATTTGGAAGCAATCTCCCCGGCCGACCCATTTTCGTACTTCTTCAACTTTGTTAACCTGCGTGCCGGCCTAGGCATGCTACACCGATTCTAGTGAGCATGCTGGGTGTTGCAGAGGTTCCCTTTCGAGCTGCAACAGGTGTTGCAAATTGACACAAGTCAACCCAGAGAGAAGCTTCACCCTAAGGCTATTGTTTAGTGGGCTTCTGCACCAGATTTCTTCCAATAAACAACAAAAATTATAAATTTGGTAGAAAAAGAAGTTTTCCGTCTGCGTGCGTTGAATAAATCAATGAAATGGAAAATTGTTATTTTATAAATTTATGAACTTTCTCTTCAAAGCGGTTCAATACAGTCGTTATATACCCTGGTATTTCCCATTTTTTTTATCGTTTTTAACTGTAACAGTCGATCGAAATTTTTACAATCTCCTAGCATATATATATATATATATATATGATATTTTAGTTTAAATAAAAAAGTTTCGTATAACATCGAGAAATTCCGGGGAACACCTATACTATAAAGAGAAATTAATTTCAAAACAAAAAAAAAAAAAACTTAAGAAAACAATATTTGCTTAGTGGCGCGAAATTAGCATAGTCCAGGTCGATTAGAATCACTTTTGTATTAAACTTTGAAGTGGTTTCGGTACACAAAAGCCGTCTGTAATACGTTGAAAGTATACCGCGTTATATGAAAACTGTATTGTGTGGGAAATCCAGAATTAATGTAACTTAGGAAATGCTGCGTCCCGTGAAGGTCGCGTTGAAGCAAAAATAGAATGAGAAAAGCTCAGATAAAAATGGAAAGCGTTATATGGAAAATTCGTTATAAACAATGCAAGGTTAACGTCTTGATGCTCTTGATCATATGTTAGATAAGCGGTACTAGATTTTTTTTTGTTCTTGTTTCTTACATATTAATATAAGAAATCAATTGAGTTGCTGCCGAATGTTTTCTCTCGTACCAAAAACGTGTTATAGGAGAAATGCGGCAGTTTTCGTAGCGCGTTGTATGGATACTTCTTTATAAAAGCGTTGCAAAGGTCTGACAATTTAGAATTAGTAAAAGTCAGAGAGAGAGAAAGAGAGAAAGAGAGATGCGTTTTCATTGTTGTTCGCATCGCGTTCCACCGCGTTTAGTTCAATAACGAAGAAAGAGCAAATTATTTATGGATGTCAATCTATATTGATCAGCAAAATAGTTGCTGTAATAGCCTGTGACGCTAATAAATCAGGGAAAGCCAATTTTAGAAGAAATTTTGATTTCAGGTTCGCCTTTAGCCGTCGTAACTTCTTTTAGGCTGCGTATACCTTACAGATGATAGACAGACCCGGTTCATTTTTAATTTTACGCCGTAATGAACGGTTGAGAATATGTCTTCCAACTTTTCGCTTTTTATTTCAATAATGAAACGAAAAATCCAACAGATCCGCTTGTTTTCTGATGACGATTGCAAACTGAAATAAACTAAGATTTTCTTAGAAAAACCTTTAAATTTTAAAGAAATGTTAAGATTAATTAAACAGGTAAGAAAATTATATTCGGTTATGGCTGCAATAAAAGAACTAAATTTTCATGTTCTATAATGTGCAGTGGGCGAGGCTGCTTTCTATTTTCAAAATAACATATTTTTGTAGTGTAGGCATGTCGGCGTTGTAGGCGCGTCTTTTGGAAAATTTAGTTCACTTACAAATTCTTTTGCAAGTTCGTAGGCAACATCTTCATTTGCGCTACGGACAGATGGACAGACTTGCTTAGGCGCATTCCAAATTTGAAATTAGCTAAGAATTTACATTCTTTATAGGGCTTTTGAAGCTTGCGTTTCTGTGCCTCATAAGATTAATTTGTAAATTGACGGATTCAAATAAATATTAACGAAGCGTAATATAAATCATCTTCGATCAGCATGAACTTAATGCCAATATTGGTAACGAGCCAAAGTCTTAGCTATTTTCACAAAAGTTCAATGAATGCCGTTGTTCGATTTGTTTATTCATAAATTTTTCGTGACTATAACAAAATAAAACAAAGAGAAAAATTCTATTTTTTGGCGGCTTAGGCCGATTTGTTTTGTTGTACTTTGTCACACTTTATTCTTTTCTTTTTGTTTGTTCAAGTTTTACATAAGAAAAAAATTTTTACAACTAGGCGACTATTCTCTCTAATTGCATTAACATAGAAATGTAAAATTTTCTCAACAGCAGCTAAAGCAAGCATTAGCGTCAATTTTTTTTTTTTTTTTTTTTGTTCATAAAGTTGGCAAAAATAATTTACTTATGGGAAATATATATGTGTCTAGGGTCAAATCGCTATCAGTTTAAAAGTGCGTTAACGAAATCCTTTATGTAAACATGCTGGCACAGCAAGAGCTTCGTTATAAAAGCAAGCTGCGTAAGCAACATTTAGATTTAGAAAAGTAAATTTTTGAACTTAATCTCTGACGATTATAAAAATTGTCTTGTTTTTGTTCGAAGCAAAGTTTTAGGAGATTGCAATCGCGATTTTGCTACAAATACGTTCATTGCCCAATCAATTGTGATTGTTACCATGACGTAAACAAGAACGAATCTCAATCAATATTTTCGGCTCGAATGATCGATTAGGTAAAATAGTCTCGACTTACAAATCAATGGTCATGGGTTGAAATCTCAAGTGCATTAGTATTTTCCATGCAAATGTGTTTATATTTAAGAAAAAGTCATAAAAAATATTTCCCCAAAGAAGAACCACTTTTGTAGCACTTTCTCAACTATTCGCCATATAACGCCTTAACGTTAGATGAACAACTGTAGGCCATGGCCTACTTGTTTTCCAATTCAATTTTTCGAATTATGGAGAGTAATTATAGTTATACCGTTTGATTCAGAATAATTTTGGGAATCGACTTAACACGTTGACGCTCACTTTAAAATCGGCGAGTGCTTCCCAAAACTCACTTCGTTTTTCTTTTAATTTACAATGCTAAGAATGTAGGACTGCTATAGGCGTCTTGTGCATCTACAGGCACTCGCAATGAACATCATTTACTGTAATGGGTTAAGCTTGTCCGTTCTATATTTGCGTTATAAGTATTTAAGATATTTGAGACAAATTTCACACTGTACACGCACCTTTACACCAAGATAAGCCGCATCATTATCGCCATAACATCATTTTAATCCCGATCATAAACTCGATTATAAAAGACGGCAATAATATCATAATTGTACACAGGCTTATTTAATTTTACAACAACTAACAACACTAAAGGACGCCATTAAATACCCTACGCAATTGTACAGTTATTCATATAACGACTTTTTATAAAGTAAGGTGTTATGTAGGAGTTGGGGTCGAATAAGTGAGACGATCCGAATCATTTTTAATAGCGCTCGTCCTTAGGCGACGAAAACACATCACTGCATCACATTTTCTGAACGAAAATAAGGCGGACGAATAAGCTCGATGAAACGGTATAATAAATATTGAGTCTATGTCATGCATTACATCCGCGTAAACTTAGTATACTTTCATATCACAAGTGACGACGTATGGTGTAAAAAAAAGATTTACGTGCATTATGAAACAAATAGGACATTAGGATTAAAAATTGTACTTTTTTTTTATACAATGGGTTTTCTTTAAAATACTCATTCTAAAATCATTTTATTACCGTAATTACAAAATTGTTCTTTTGATAAGAAATACTTGCGATAAAATTAATATTTTTAAAAATAGTTCATGTTTTTTTTTAATCAACAATTGTAATTTTGTGTATGTGCGTCGTGTGTGCATCTATTTTTCAGCCGGTCTTTTTTGTTTACATCAAAAAAAAAAAAAAGCATTGTTTTTAAAATAGCGGTTGTTGCGTCACATATTGGCGCCATGTCTATTGATATTCGCTTTTAATACAATTCGTAATTTGTTTTCCTCGATTCTTACATATATTGTGCAAAAAAAAAAAAAAAAAAACGAAACTTGAACATAGTGTAGCGTTCATAATAAACTTACACTTTCGAATAT